AGAGGAAATAGTGATGCCAAGGAGAAAAAGTTGCACATTTGTAGGAGGTTTTTAGAAATGAAGGGTGGCTAGGTTTTATTTAATACTCCCTCTGCCCTAAAACCAACTTCCCATTGCATTTTATGATGTTTGACCTAAGTTATTTTTAATTTAGTTTTTACGAATACCGGTGTGGAATTTAAAAATAAAATTTACATATTTTAAAACTAAAAGATCTATGAAACTAGAGGTGACATGATTATAACTATAGGTGACATGATTATATTTTTTTAATAAAAAATAGTAACGAAAAGAAGCTAACATAGTGGATAGAGTTTGACTAGTAAGTAGTGAACGGGAAGATAATTTTAGGATGGAGGGAGTAGCATTTTGCGAGTTGTGCTTCGGCCCATTAAGTTGTTTTCAATGCTGGTTTATGCTGAACGCTTTGGTGAAATTAATTGTTAATAACAACTAACATATTGACAAATGGTGTACTAAATCAAAACAGTTTTCAATTTAAGAGGATTAAAAATTTAAAATCTGTATTATCTTAATAAAAGCAAAACGATTTAACTTAATTTGTATGATGATTTTTTTTGACTTGTGTTATCTAAAAGTGATTATTTATTTTGGCATGACACGTACAAGTACATCTTATTATTTTATCTGATATTGCTTTAAGTTTTTTTTGTGAACAATATTGTGTATATTTTTTTTTTATTACTTTAAGTCTTCAAGATATAATGTCATTGCACAAATAAGATGAATTTTATGGAGAATATCTTTTACCATATTTTAATAATTTTATTTATTGATTCTAGGCGTAAGCCCATAAGGCATAGTCTGCCCCCGGGTTTTCCTTTCATTGCCTTGGCAAAATTTTATAATGCTTCTTTAAAGAAATATTTATGAATTAAACTCATTTCAATTTTAAATGATAAATTCTATTCAAGCTCTGTTTAGACTTCGGATGGGAAGGATGAGGCTAAGATTTATAAGTATAACTTTACAAAATAGCTATTTTAGAATTTAAGGTGTAATGTTGCGGCAGGTGGGGCTAGGGCTGCTCTAATTTTTGACATGAGGGCATATGTGGGAATTCACAAGGAAATTCATCCGGCCCTATCCCCTTTGTTAGCAATGGTGCCTCGTCCTATGAGTTAAGTCAGTGGGGCTACGCTGAGGAAAGATCATGCTACTATCCATGGTGTAATTGTGTTAAATGTTTTCCATCATGATAATGGCTTTACGTATCTTATGTGGCAGGTCAAGGCCCCTGTCATTGTTGTGAGTTGTATGCTTGACATGAGGGATGATCAACAAGCTATTAGTTTGGAGCAGGTTATGTTGCCCATAATGCAACAATTCAGGGAGATCGAAACATGTATTGAGTGCTCTGCGTACAAACTAATTCAGGTAAATGTGATTTCAGTTTTTCAAACTATTTATGGGATACCATGTATTAACTGCCAATTTCCATTCCTCGCATTATACTACATGCCCATAAAAGCTTCATTTCTTTACTAAAATCATCATTTCAAAGTTCAAACGATACTTTCTTTTGGAATGGGAAGTAGTCATCAAGATATGTTGAGTTTTATATGATTTTTTGGAGTTCGAGCATTTATGTTATCATGTCTTTGATTGAAAGACTGGATGTACTGCTAAAGTGTAGATCTTATGCCATTATCTCCAACAACCTGAAGCCGACGACTACTTGCAGGTTTCTGAAGTTTTCTACTACGGACAAAAGACTGTTCTGCACCCAACTGCTCCACTGTTTGATCAGGAAGCTCAAACTTTAAGACCAAGATGTGTGAGAGCTTTGAAACGAATTTTCATTCTTTGCGACCATGATAGGGATGGAGCCCTTAACGATTTTGGATAACTT